ATGTACAAGTTGAAATGCAAAACAGAAAAGTTAGGTTACATCTGGATTCTGGCTCAGACTTAACTATTATAAACCTACAAACATGGAGAAAACTGAACAAACCTGTCATGTTAAAAACGGATAAAATTACTAGATCAGTTACGAGGAGAAAGATAAAATTCGAGGGTGAAGTAATTACAAACGTAACATTTAATGTAATGACGAAAAAACTAAAAATGTACGTCTTAAGAAATACCGAAAACCTATTCGGAACAGACTGGATGCAAAAATTCGAATTGTGAGATTTAACTATTAGTACGTACTGGCAAAATGTAAAAAGCTTATCAACCGAGGCAGACAAATTAAAAGGAAAACTAAAAACAAGTTTCCTCGAAGTATTTTCAGCAGGTCTCGGAAGATGTAAGAAAATGGCAGCTAATATCGAAATAAAGGAAAACGTTCAACCTGTTTTCAAGAAGAAAAATGAGCGTACCGTTTGTGTCAATAGAAAAAAATTGACCAAGAATTATCTAGATATGAAAATACGGGCATATTGAAAAAAGTAGAATACAGCAAATGGGCCGCACCGACGGTCTACGTCAAAAAGAAATCAGGAGAAATTCGAGTTTGTGCTGATTTTTCTACAGGTTTGAACGCAGCAATAAAGGACTACCACTAACCTCTACCCAGTCCAGAAGAAATATTCACTAAATTAAATGGCGGAAAGTATTTTTTAAAAATTGATTTAAGTGAGGCGTACATGCAAATCCAGTCGATGAAGAAAGTTCAAAACTTCAATGCATAAATACACACAATAGGGATTGTACAGATACTAAAGACTACCATTTGGAATTAAGGTCGCGCCGGCTATATTCCAACAGACAATGGATACGATGCTTGCCGGACTAGACTACACAATTGCATACCTGGATGACGTATTGATTAATAGCGAAAGCGTTGAACAACACTGGCAACATGTACAAAAAGTTTTTAAGAGAATTCAAAGCTATGGATTCAAAGTAAAAGAAAATAAGAGTGATTTTTTCATGAAAGAAAATTAAATACCTTGGCTATAATATAGATCAAGAAGGTAGACGACCAGACCCTGAAAGCTCGATAGCAATAAAAAAAATGGTAGTCCCTAAGAATATAACAGAACTACAAAGTTTTCTTGGATTAATGAATTACTACCAGGAATTCATACCTCAAATGCATAAACTTCGCGCACCATTGAACGAACTGCTAAAGAAAGAAAAATTTGACAGTGGACAGATCAATGCCAGGAAACATTTGAAAAAATAATCCAGACATTAACATCGGATTTATTTTCGGTACACTATGATCCTAAACTAGAGATTATTGTAGCAAGCGATGCGAGCGCCTACGGTGTCGGAGCGTGTATATTACATAAAATGCCAGATGGGACAATAAAACCTATCGCACATACTTTTCGAACCCTACTACCAGCGGAGAAAAAGTATTCACAAATTGAGAAGGAAGCTCTAGCAATTATCTTCGCAGTAACAAGATTCCATAGATACGTCTATGGTAAACATTTTACTCTGCAGACGGATCACAAACTGTTAATAAAAATTTTTGGTTCAAAAAAAGGTCTACCGGTTTACACGGCAAATAGACTACTTAGATGGGGAACGATTCTTTTGAACTATAATTTCAGATTGGAATATTTACCAACGAAAAGAATCGGGCACGCGGATGTTCTGTTGAGACTTATACCAACAAAGACAGAGCCATTGGAAGATACGGTAATCGCAGCCCTTAGAAATGAAGACGACATAAGGACAGTCAGAAAACTCCCAGTCAAATTGCAAGACATAAAAAATGAAGCCAAAAATGACGAATTTATTAATGAAACAAAAGCAAAAATAGCAGAAAAAAATGAGAA